ATTGTGAACTTTCCTTTTTAATGAAATCATATTATATAAACATATATTTTCGTTTTTAAATTTAATATTTTTTTTTATTATAAAATTTATTTGGAATGTTTTAAAAAGGAAACTAAACATAAACTTAATAATATTATTTAAATATACTATTTAAATATATTCATCAAGGGTATCATAGTAATCAACCAGTGTAAGAGTCAACGTGAGCGCGCCACATAGGAAACTGACTTCTCAAATAATATTATAGAGATTCCGGTTGATTGTGTTTTAATTAGTGATAACGTTACGTGATCACACGTAGTTCTGTCACTAACTTTGAAAATTGACAATCCACAAACAAAGACAAAAGTCCATGCCACTTGTTGCTTTGAGTTTTGGACACTTCAGATACAAGGTTCCCATTGAGGATAGGCTTCTTACTTTTTTCACACTGCAACATCACTGAGTTCCCAAACATCTTAAAGACTCTTCAAGACTTGCAGCACATAGACATCTCCAACAATGGAATCAAGGGAAGAGTCCCTGCCAACTTTCCTCCTCTGAGTACATTGGATTTTTCAAAACATTCTCTTACTGGTTTTGAAGGATCAGCGGAAGTTTTGGTAAATTCATCTGTGAGGATATTAATAATGCCTTCAAACAGATTCCAAGGAGCACTTCCTAACCTGCCACTCTCTATTGTATTCTTTTCTGCTTTTGGGGAAATGGTTTCACAGGGAACATACCTCCCTCACTATGCAACCTCAACTCTCTAATGGTTCTTGATCTATCTGAAAACAGCTTCACCGGTTCAGTTCCTAGCTGTTTGAGTAACTTGACATTATTAGTTCTCCGAAAGAACAGTTTAGAAGGAAGTCTCCCAGACATGTTCCACACCGGTTCCTCGCTTAGGACATTTGATGTTGGCTACAATCAACTAACAGGAAGGCTTCCAAGGTCTCTTCTAAACTGCTCCTCTCTTAAGTTTCTAAACGTTGAGAGCAACAAAATTGAAGGTGCGTTTCCTTTTTGGCTCAAGGCTTTACCAAACTTGCAAGTCCTTATCCTCCGTTCAAACAAGTTCTATGGTCTGCTCTCTCCTCCTGATCAAGGTCCTCTAGCGTTTCCTCAGCTGCATATATTGGAAATATCGGATAACAGCTTCACCGGGAGCTTGCCAGCAAACTACTTTGTGAACTGGAAAGCATCATCACTTCAGATGAATGAAGATGGGAGTATATATATGGGATACAAAGAGGATACTTTAGCTTCCATAAATGGTTACTATGCTTACCAAGATGCTATAGATTTGCGATACAAAGGTCTAATTATGGAGCAAGCAAAGGTTCTTAGTTCCTAACCCACTATTGATTTTTCAGGGAACCGACTTGAAGGAGAGATTCCTGAATCTATTGATCTCTTGAAGGCATTGATCGCACTCAACTTATCGAATAATGAATTTACAGGACATATTCCTCTGTCTTTGGAGAATCTTACGCAGCTAGCGTCACTAGACCTGTCAAGAAACAACCTCTCTGGGACTATTCCTAATGAACTCAAGGGCTTGACGTTTTTGGCGTATCTAAATGTGTCGCATAACCAACTCACTGGTGAAATACCAAAAGGAATACAAATCACTGGACAAGCTAAATCTTCTTTTGAAGGGAATGCAGGTCTTTGTGGACTTCCTCTCCGAGAAAGTTGAATCAAGAAGACCAAGAGAAAGGAGAGGTGTTGAACTTGAAAGCTGTGGCTATAGGATATGCTCCTGGGGTGTTGTTCGGATTGGTATTAGGTCAAGTGATTACTTCATACAAGCCAAAGTGACTCGTCAAGTTTAGCGGTTTGTATTGTTTTGGTTTTCTCACTTGATATTGGAATCTTTGTTTATAGCCATTTATGGTCTAGTAACAAAACAGTTCCTTGTTTTTTTTTCTTGTTCTGTTCTTTAGCAATAAAGTCTCTGTATCTGTATTCATATTTATTTGAATACGAATCAGAAACAGCAGAAGGACTGTCAATACATCTCTGTTCTAAAGACTTGTCACTGATCACAGAGTGAATACAGCAAAGGTAATGCACTAACAACACTAGAACAGAGGTGACACACCGGTTGTTTCAGTTCTCTCTATGTTTCATCAATCGAAGTAAGTAGTAACTGTACAGACTCAAAGCTTTAATATGACCTTCTCTACTAATAAAGTTCCTATCTCAAAACAAGTAAAGATGATGCTCTGTTCTACTTTTTTTCCTTTTTTATACAAGGCAAGAATCCTTTTTATACATCTCTCTGTCGCTCTACGTGTTTCATCAATCAATGGAAACTGTACCAATACCAAAAGCTAAGTGGAGTACGTCTGGTGGAGAGTTGTAGAGCCACGTGAACCAGAAGTAATGCTGTGCACTGTTGTATCCAAGTCCCTGTACTCTACTCCAGTATCAGACTTTAAGTAGTACTCTCTCTCGTCTTCTGGTCTAAACCAAGCAATCCTTTTGCGGATGTCTCTGACGGTTTGGTCTGATCTAAAAAGGATCCATACCGGTGTCCCAGATTCACCAATGGCCAAATTGATTTTTAGTTCTATTGTAGTAGTAGTAGTAATGGGAACAGATGATAACCCTTCTTCAACATCCTTATCCTTTACATTGTCCTGCTTATATAACCAGAAGACAAAACACAACACTCAGAAGGCAAAAAAGGAGAAACGCAAATCAACATTGAGTTCCCTTATTTTTAAAGCTATCCTAAGAAGGTTAATCCAAAGAAAGACCATCAGGAGATTAAAAAGTATTAACACTGTATGTAACTAAGCTCCACATCGGCAGATACTGTTTTGTGCTTAGCATGCACAATATTAGAAAACAAGCAATACCATAGTAAGAAAGTGCAGAGGAACTAAAAGTTACATACATCCACTTGAGACGTTGCATCTTCTGGGACAGCTACGGTGACATTTCCTGTTTCGGTCGGGCCAGCATTACTCGAACTGCACAAGTTTAGATATGCAAGTTTAGCGATCCTGAAAGAAAAGGAGAAAGATCGATACTAGGTATACTCTAGTTACCAATATTTACTGGTTTACCTAGTTGATTTTTCCTCTTCCATGAGATAGGAATAGGCTTCGTCTACATTCCAATTGCTGAGTGTAAGGTAAACGGTTGCAACGTCTCGATTAACTACTCCATCAGCCGCCAGGACGAGTAAATCGATGAGGTCCTCTTTCCATTGAGACGGTTGCTCCGGAAAATTCTGCAGCTGATTCGAACTCGTACGTGAATCTTCCCTAGTTTGTGTAGGACTTGAAATTTCCTGAATCTGAATGTAGAAATGCAAGCAGTGTACGCATCAGCATTGTCATTTTTCATTCCAAAGTTATGTTTTGTGCTTTAGCTTTTATCAAACACGATTATAGAGGTTATGTTGCAGAGGAAAAGAGGATAACTATGATCCAAAGAGGATAACCTTCACATGAGCTTTAGCTTCAGGGAAATATCCTCCACCAGCTTTTTCGAGTGACTCTGTGCTTGAATCTTCGTCAACAGCCTTACCCTTCAACACAAATACTCAGTTAACTATCGTAAGAAAACAGAGAAGGACAGGCAATCCAGTTATGGATCATCAAGAGCTATAGAATTTCAACTCCTCTTATGTAACTATGATCCAAAATGCCAGGCTTTGGTTTGAGGTTAAGGAATTTAGCATACACAATTCGAGAAAACAATCAGGACCATAGTAAAAAGTGCATAGCAACAGAAGGTTACGTACAGTTCCAGGAGTAGCTTCTGTGTAATCTCCAAAGAAAAAACTGATGGCATCGTCTTGGTTCCAGTTGCAGTGACGGAGGCAAGCGATCGCGGCTTCTCGAGACGCTCCAATAGCCGCCTTGCAGAAAGATTTGATACCTTCCTCTTTCCACTGAGACAGTTGCTGTTTAGGCGTAATCGTCAGCTGACGCGAACTCATACTTGACGGCGTCCCCTCAGCAGATTTCTTGACGGAGGAACTTGTCCTTTCTTGAACCTGAATGGACAAATGCAAGCAGTATATGAATCAACACTGAAAAGGGCAACTCAAAGAGAGACCATTGTAAGATAAACACAAAAGATAAAACGGAGAAGTGCAAGAAAGCAGTGTACCAACTACATTGAGTTATTTTCAAACTATCGTAAGAAAACAGAGAAGACCAGTCAATCCAAAGAAAGATCATCACGAATTTAGCATACACACTGAGTTCTTTAACTCCTCTTGTCTTATGTAACTATGATCCGCAATATCAGGTTCTGTTTTGAGAGGCTAAAGCATTTATCATACACAACTCGATAAAACAAGCAGGACCAACAGTAAAAAGTGCAGAGGAACAGAAGGTTACATACAACTCCCTGAGACTTCGCAATTTCAGGATTAGCTAGAATGTATTCTCCAAAGAAATAACTGACGGCGTCTTCGTGATTCCACTTGCAGTGACTGAGGCAAGCTTCTGCGGCTTTTCGAGACGCTACAATAACCACATCACGGAATGATTTGACAAGCTCCTTTTTCAACCGTGACAGTTGCTCGTCAGGCGAATCCGTCAGCTTAATCACACTCATACTTGACGCCAGCGCCTCAGCAGATTCCTTAACGGGGCTTGTACTTTCTTGAACCTGAATGGACACAAAGTATACGCATCAACAGTGAGAAGGACAAACTCAAAGAGAGACCATCGAGAAAAACAGCAAGTCAGAAGGTTACATACAGCTTCTGTGTAATCTCCAAAGAAATAACTGATGGCATCGTCTTGATTCCACTTGCAGTGACTGAGGCAAGCGATCGCAGCTTCTCGAGACGCTCCAATAGCCACTTTGAAGAATGATTTGATACTTTCCTCTTTCCACTGAGACAATTTCTCTTCAGACGTATTCGTCAGCTGACTCGAACTCATACTTGACGACGTCCCCTCAGCAGATTCATTGACAGGCGAAAGCTTTTCCTCCTTATCTTGAACAAGACTTGTATTTTCTTGAATCTGAATTGACATTTCAAAGGGAAACTCAAAGAGAAACCATCAAGAAAATGTAAAAACTATAACATTCAAGCTTTAGGGATACCTTCAGGTGAGATGACACCAATGGAGGTATAGCTTTAGGGACTACTTGTTCTTCACTGTAGAGACACGAAAGAGACGCATACTCAGCAAAATCATAATCTAAAAACCTTAATCAACATCAAGAAAACGACTTTACCATTCTCCAGCTCACAAACATTCAAAACACAGAATCAAAAAACAAAAACCCTAAAATCAAGAAAACCACAAACAGAGAACACTAAAAACCCTAAAAATCAAGAAAAATCACCGCATCGACTCCAATCGCCTAAGCTTCCGATTCATCTTCCTCTGAGAAGCCGTTGGAAAGCGCTCGTCGAAGAACTGCGACACGGCTCGCTGCAAATCCCAATCGTTGCGCTCGAGATACGACGTCGCATCACGTGTATCCGATCCGACAGCGAGATTGTAGAATTTCACGATAAGTTCGTTTCTCGATGGAACCTCCGGCGAAGAGGCTTTCTCTTTCTCCGTGAGAGACGGCAAGTCCAAGGTTTTGCTGCGGCAAGCCTCCATCGCTGCATCCAAGTTCCAAGCGAATGCTTCGAGGTAGAAGATTGCTTCTTCTCTGCAGACTCCGAGTTCGTCGCAGATCCGTCTCGCTCGATCGGTCATCGTCGGTGGCGAAAGGTCTTCGTTGTACATTTTTGGCGGTTTTTTTTTTCGTTTAGAGTTTTGCGAAGAGGACGAGAGGGTGTTTTATAGTAGAGTCTTGAACGCAGTCGTTTTGCTAATAAACTTCGAAGTTGTAACGGAATAAGATTGACTAAACGACTTTAGTCTAGTGTATTTATTATTTAATTTAATACACACTTTTATAGCGAAAGATACGGTTACAATGCTCTAACTACAAACTCTCATATGCAAAATACCAGTACGTACAACTAAGATTAGTGTGCGTGCTTTTAATTTATCAACTTTTATAACACAAAGAAAGTTTCCCTCAATACAACATTCATATAGTACTCCTTCCGTTTCAAAATATTTGTCATTCTAAGCTTAATTTTTTTTATTACAAATTAATTGTTGTTTTAGAGTTTTGAGGTAAAATTTATTAATTTTATATAATATTCTATTTTTTGTATAGATACTTATGTTTTTATCTTGAAAATATGTAAAAGTTAAATGTTTTATTAATCTGTGTAACAAAATATAGAATGAAAATTAAAATGAAATGGAGAACCTATATGTATGGAACTTAATGTAAAAAAAAAAAACGTTGCTTCAGTGCATTAAATGACTTCTAGATCTTGTAAAAAAAAGATGTGTCGTTGAAACTTGAACAAAAAAATATGTGTATCTTCTTGCTGATGATAATGCAAGTCACAGGGGGAATCATTCTTCACAATGATTTTATTGCAATAATACTTTAGCAATTTACCAAAACATGTGTCTCTAATTGAACCTGTGTGAACTAAGAAGTGTGTTGTAGTATATATATACACTATAAAAGTTGAACGACGACAACTAAAAAGAGAGTTTATATTGATAATTCATATATATATACACACTTTCACTCGATGAAAATTTGTTGAGAAGAAAAATTCTGAGAATATAAATATATATATGGATGCAAATAAAACCACACTTTCTTTTCATTTTAATAACTCTATTTCCTATAAGTTGCAACCAGGGGAACATCTTCTTCTTCAAGTTTCTGCTCCTCAAGCTCTATAAGTCTCGCAAACACACCGACCAAAGGGGCAGTATTGTACGTACAAGCCTCGGTTTGAACGTAATTACCCCTCCTGTCAACAAAATCATCTAGGTGATCCGGTCCCCCGACCAAAGCCCCAACTAAAACACTTGGATTAGGCTCGGACCGACCGTACCAATAATCATAACCTTGAGTGCATCCAATGAACCCTTTGTAATCTTTATAAGAAGCAATAGATGCACCTCTATGATGAACCCTAAGAGGATATTTCGGACCGTATCCGACTAGGTAACTTGTTTTCATTGGGTTTGATCCTAAAATGTAGTCTATTTGGGATTTGGCAAACACTAGCATCTCGTCAGGAGTAACGGTTCCTTGGTGACACTTGAGATCGGAGTTTGATTTTCGTAGGTGGTCGGAGTATACGGTTAGGAGGAAAGATGCGGTGGAAACGTATTGCATGTTGTTCCATTGCCGGACGTAGAGTAAACCGGCCGGTGTTCGTTGGACATTTGTGCCGTTGGTGTTCTTGTTGAGAATTGAACATAGGTAATGATCGGCCTTTGATTTGTATTGTTGTAGGACTTTCGAATGTTGCTTGTGTTTGTCTTCTTTTATCAACTGAGAAATAAAGGAGCAAAATGTTAATTAAGAGAATAGGACATCAACACTCTAATTATTCATCTAAATTTGATTAAAAAAAAGAAGAAATGAATACTTTGCCTAACTTGTGGTTAAAGTAAAATTCAGAGAACTGATAAAGACACTCTATATCAAAGATTCAAAATGAAGGAATTTACTTTAATACAAAATTTAACAAAACATACTAAAATAAATTTAATCTCTAGTGTGTAAATCTTAGTATTTTTTTATCCAAAAACAAAAAAAAAGAATTCTTAGTATGTGTTTGTGGCTTGTGCAAGAACACAAAGGTTTTCCTAATTATCCGCAAGTTATTACTTGTGTAATAGCACAAACTTCGAGTAAAGATTGTTGACTATTTACGCATATGCTTTAGCAAGTAGGTTTGGAATCACGTGCCGCACAACAGAACCATTTAAAGACACGTACCCTATTAGACGAACAGAAGCACGTGATTTTTAGTTCTGTTTCTGCCTATAACTAACTTTTCTTAAAAGAAATTGTTAATTTCTTAATTTTAAAAATATTCATTGTGTTGCATACAAAGAGGAAGTATGTGACTAGTTGTCGAGTGTAAGATGGTGGTGGGGGATACCTTACTTTGTCTTATGGCCTAATTAAACGTGAGGAGGTTACAGCTTGATACTAACCTTTCACTTAACGCCATAATAGGATTCTAATTCAAGTTTAAAGTTGGAACGTTTACTTGTTTCATTATTCTATTAATACATTTGTCTTATTAAGAACATTTACAATTCTATTACATAATTTACTGCAAAATAGAATAAAAAATAAAATGATGAATAAATACAAAAGTGAATATTCCATAAATGACAAAATGAGTTTTTTGTTTGTTAATCACTCAATTTCTCACTCTATTTTACACTAAACTATAAAATATGGTTGAAGATGCTCTAAGACTTTAATCTGATATAAATAACAATTAAAATATTTATTGCTCCATAATTTTCATTTTCTTGAACTTATTATAAAATATTGCTAGTTCATATGTAAACATTTACCGGAATATGAAAATTTCTCCAAAGTCATAATTAGAAACTTTTTTTTATAAAACATAATAATAATTAAAATATACTGACCATGGAAGCGAGGAGTTGAACACCAGCGAACTTGACGTCCCAGCTAAACTCGGACATGGCCCAAGAAAGGCCACCGAGTTGGTGCGCCATGTCAACCACATAACTCATATAGTGATCATTGTCGGTGGCTCGATAAAGCCATGTGGCACCCCATAAAAGCTCGTCCATGTAACCACTCACCGAGGCATAATAACTTTTCACTACTCGTAGACTCTCATCATATTTACCTCTGTACTTGTCTCCAAACTCAAACAACTACACCAAAACCATAACTAAGTAAATGTCGGTTGCAACTGTAACACTTCATTAAAATAATATTAAAAATGTGTATGTACTTGTTGGGCATGGTGCAAGAGAAGGTGAGAGTAATGTGGATTAGTTGTGCGGAATACTATTGAAGCTGCAGCCATAGCCGCAGCTGTTTCTCCGGCAAGATCTGATCCCGGATTATTCTCGTCGATCTTGAAAGCTCGCCGTGAAGTCGTCATGTCTTCCGGTCTTTGCCAACAGTAGTGATCAGTGTCACCGTCTCCTACTTCGGCCCATAAAACATTTGGGCTTGTGTGTGCCTTGATGAAGTAATCGGTTCCCCATTTGATGGCTTCAAGCGCGTGAGATAGCTCGCCGGTTGAAGCGAGTGAGTCACCGTACTCTATTACACTCCACGACAGCATTGTCACCGTGAAAGCCATCGGAAGTCCAAATTTAACATGGTCTCCGGCGTCATGATATCCTCCCACTAAATCCACCTTTATAACCAAAGATTATATTTTTTTTAATTTTAAAATTTGGAAATTAAAGTCACATCAGTTACTAGTTCGCTATCAAAAGCTGTAGTAAAAGTATATAAATTTTAAAATCAACAATATTTCAAAACATTTTTTAAAGAAAAAATACATTTTGTAATTATATAATCATATTTAACGACACTTCACAGAGTAAATGGTTGATAAATAAATCATAATATTAATTAGCTTATTACTATATTAAGTATTAACGTACAGTAGTTTTTTTTCTACTCAGGTCTCTTTTCAAAACTAAATGATACTAAAGTAAATTAAATAAACTTTGAATTTTAAAAGAAAAGACAACATTTAATGAAAAGTAATGAGTTTGAGTTTGTAACAGAAACTAACCCCTTGTTCTAGACCATCGGTGAGACCGGAGTGATCACGCCACGTCACGCGCTGGTTGTACGGAAGTCGACCTGATCTTTGAGCTTCGAAGTAGAGTAAGCTTTTAGACAATGCTTCGCCGTAGTCGAATGTTCCAGCCTCTGTCTCGGACATAACACCGATCAATGTCGCGGAGAGGGAGATAGTGATCAGAAGAAGAAAATGCAATGGCCTGTGTCGGTGAATCTCCCTTGCAGTCATTTTAGTGCAGATCTCTCTCTCACTAGAAGTCTCTGTTTGGAGATGAAAAGGGAGAGAGAGAGAATGTGATGGACTCTCTCACTTGTCTCTCTGTCTATCTCTGCCCTTCGCAGGGAGTATTTGAAAGCTGTGTGGAGTTGTGGAGGAGAGAGAGATGGCGTGACTAATGTTTCTTTTTTTTTTTTTTTTTTTTATGGTAACTTTTTATTT